TCGGGCTTCCTGTAGTCAGCCGCTGATCAGTTTCAGCAGCGGCTGAATCGGGGACACCTGGGGTACAATATGTACCAGTTCCGACTTACGTACAAATTCAACTTAAGAACAAACCTACAATCCCTATCTTGTACGTAACCCGGGGACTGCCTGTATATTTAAACGGCAGAGCTGCAGCGGGGGTAGCTTCCAGTCCCAGCTTGCTCAGTCCTGGCTCATGCTCGGTTCAGTTTCAGCAGCGGCTGAATCGGGGACACCTGGGGTACAATATGTACCAGTTCCGACTTACGTACAAATTCAACTTAAGAACAAACCTACAATCCCTATCTTGTACGTAACCCGGGGACTGCCTGTATATTTAAACGGCAGAGCTGCAGCGGGGGTAGCTTCCAGTCCCAGCTTGCTCAGTCCTGGCTCATGCTCGGTCCAGCAGCCCCTGTCTTAGGGGGTCCCAGCAGGACACTGGGACCCCAAGTGGACAGGGGCTGCTGCCAGAGCAGCCTACACTGCGCCCCCTCCCCCTATAGAGGCAGAAGCACGGGGAGGGCAAGTGGCACTGTGGAGATGGTGCTGGGGGGAACCGGCTTTTAAGCTGGCGCCCTCCAGCACCAGCTCCTGCTTCTCCCACCCCCACTTGTTGCTTCTGATATGGGGGTCGGGGGGAATGATTAAGATGGCATGATGTGGGTAGGAAGGAATCATATATACATTTCTCACATACACACACTATTGGGTATCATTTTTCACAGAACACCACAGTTTGTAAAACACCACATAGTGTTCTTAAAAAACAACAACTACAATCACAAGAAAGGATTTACCACTTCCTTAAATCTGGGTTTCGAAGGGTCTGTTTTTTATCAGTAAAGGTCATTAAACGTCAATTTCACCATACATGTACAAGCCAAACCAACAGTATTTCTATTAATAATAAACAAAATATTTAATAATAAACAAACAGATATGCAAAATAAGAAAAATGCTGCTTAAGAATTGAATTGAGTTTGAGTTAAGGATAGTTACTTAATATATTTTGACGTGATGGTGACAATTTGTGTTTGAATAATGATAAAGTTTTCATTGTTTAAGGTCAGTGCCTACTGTCATTAAATAATTACTATCTCTCCCATGCTGTAGTCTGATTCTCCCCTCCCCCAATTTCCCACAACTGTGAAAATTTAAATTAATAAAAATAGAAAATATGCTTTAAAATAAACATTGATCTTATTCATCAAAAGCATAAACATATACTGCCAAGCCTACTTACAGACACTGTACAAATAATAGATAGTGGTAACTAAAAACACAGAGTCTAGGTACTACTTAAAGGTATTATTCTAACCTTGATCTTTGGTCACAAATCCCACTTCTATCACCAAGCAAGCCTCTGTGAATTGAGGGTACATTATTAGTTGTTGCTTGGCCATGAACTCATTGGATGAACTATTCCTGGACTTTAAACTTTCTCAGCTCTATGACCTTTTAGCACCAATTTCAGTGACAAGTATAAATGGTTAGAAATCTATCACCTTTTGCTGCTGTAATTGCTGTAGTATCATTCACGTTGTTTTTTTCACATGGGGAAAAGTAAGCAAGCAGAGTTTGCCTAGGACTTCAAGATTTAGCTGAAACACGGAGTCCTGAATTTTTATATACTAGACTTCAGCTCCTGCCCCCCATATGCTATTCCCGTTCAGTTGCAAAACTACTGTAATCTGTAAATTAGAACTCCTGCTGTTTTCATGTGAAGATTCTTCAGATTAGATGCATCAAGGACTGAGGTGGATAAAGACCTTAGAGACAGATGACTGCCCAGGTCACTGAACAAATTTGAAGCCAGTCTTCTACACAGTCTACCTTACTCTGCGGGCAGCTAAGTATAAGTGTTGCATTGGATGGAATGTGGCATTCCTTACTTTATCACAATACCTACACCTCACTGTATTTCAAACAGCATACTACCTTAGTGACATCAGCTTTGTACCCAAAAGGTGCATTGTATAGGCCACCCTGCTGTAGGCATTCCCAGCCTGCACCTGCCTTCTGAGAAAGGGAAATAAAGATCAATTCAGTATCAGTTGAGTAACTGCACATCTTCCCAATCAGCTCTGAGGCTGCCTCTGCTCCTGTTGAAATAATCAGCTTGACCCCCCTTGGGCTAGAACTGACAGTATGGATCTAGAAAACCAAATTTCAAAATGATCCATCTGCAAGATAATGCTATCATTTATAAGAATTAAGGCTAGGATTCTCAAATGTGTCAGAGAGAGTTAAGCGGTTCAAATTCTGTTCGAATCCATGAGGGCTAGAGCTGAATTTCCTTTAGGAGTCTTTGAAATATCCCAGATTAAAGTAATTCTTTCATTTCAAAAAGTATAAGGTTTGCAACAAAATGCTGCCCTGAAAAGAGCAACAGCTAATCCAATTAAAATCATGTCTAAACTGTTTAACCAATATTTTATGTGGAGGAGAGACCAGAGTATTAAAAGGATGCTTTATCTGTGGCGTGATTATATTTACTCTCTTCTAAGGTAAATATTATCAAACACTTGATTTGATCAACCAGTCTGCAGGATGCGTTACCATGTCAGTGTAATCCCATGTGAATTGATATGAAAACTAAGCCCTCATTTCAGAGGATGTGTGTTATTGTACAATAAAAATGAACAAAATGAAAAATATCGGTATGTACAGGGGAAAAACAAACCTTCCATTATCGGGTTACGAAGAAGCAGGAAATGGACTTTGCTTCATAAACCAGCTGGTCAGTTAGGTCTTATCCATACACAGAAGTTGCGTCACTTTAATTACATTTGTAACATTAATGTGTAACAATCCCCTAGTGTGGATGTGGTATAAAGGTGCATGTTCCAAATGTATTTTATTCCTGCCTAGAAAGCACTTTTACACCAGTATAACTGTGTTCATATTAGGGGCTGTACTGGCATAATCACTTTGATTTAAAAAACACCCCAAACTGACAAAATCCGCATGGAACCTAGATGGCAGCTGATTTTTGACCCAGATAAAGCTGGGGAAAGGAGATTAAGGATTAGACTCATTATCCTCTAGGGGGCAGGGCTAGACTGGACAACATCTATTCTACAGCTTTCTTAAGCAACTTGATTCTAGTCAAAAGAATTGCACAGTAGCTGGTTACATGTGAGACTGAAGAATTTTCATAATGAATGTGCCACATAATAGACTTGAAAAGGAGCTTGCCGCTCTGGCCCATCACAAAACTCTTTGTACTTTCCTACAGTGCCTATGGCTGCACTTTATGTTGTTAGTTACACTGTGCTTGTGCTCCCCTAAACACATCTGACAATTTTTGAAGTGAAATATTTGCCAGTGTCCCTATGAGGTAGATATTATACCAAGAAATGTGTCACGTTAAACTGACTACAGCGATCTCACATGCTCAGGACATTCCTCTTTTTCTTTCCCTTAACCCACAGCTTTTCACTGCCAGCCACAGTATCAGGAGCAAGTTTGAGTCTGTATCACCCAATTCACATCCGGAACTCCCACAGGGAGTGGGTAAGTAGAAGAGTTGGACCTGGAATTTGGACCAGCCCATAAAGCTATCTGAGAAATTCATATTCAGGTTTCAGTTCTGACACTGTCAAATTTGGATTTTGGTTCAGAGCTATCTCCTGCTAGGCCTCTGTTGTGTACTTGTAAAAAGTATTGTTCATTAGAATACCCCAGCACTGAGACACCTGCCCGTTGTGGCCACTCAACCGTTCACTAGGCTTGTGGGTTCTACCTATTCATCCCCCTCTGCCTGTCCTGTCTGTTCTGACTGGAAGCTCTTTGGGATAGGGGGTGTCTCTATGGTCTGTGTTTATATAGTGCCTAGTGCCACAGGGTACTGAGCCTGGGCCAAGTTTTCTAGGTGCCAAAGTCATACGGCAATAATTGGCAGGTGTGGACCTATCAGAGCCTTTTCACCTCTCTTTTAGCTTCTCCAAAGTGCAAGATACTTGATCTGTCTCATCTCTCATCTCATAACCTTCAGGTTGGAGAGGGAGACACAGCGCATAGGTGTACTTATCACTCTGGTTTTACAAAGAGAAGCCTTTTCACATTTCTCACAACTGCCTGGAAAAATAAAAGCCTTTGGGATAGAGTCCGTATCCCACTCCAGCCCTTAAACACCATTCCAGCCCTATACGGCCCTCTGAACTGCAATGCTAGGTGCTGGAAGAGACTTCTGTCATCACGCACGCAGCGTAGAGCCAGGATAAGCAGCCCTGCATTAGCCCCTCTCAAGCTCCAGTACAAGCGGTGTGCTTGGCGTGGAAAGGGGACATGCCTCTGTACATGCTGCTTTGGAGACTCTGAGCTGCTCCAAACGGCAC